TTTTCTAGAAATAGTACATTTTCTAACCATCTGTAAGATGGTGATGAGTATTAAACTAGTGTTTCTGTTTACAGATATCTTCAGTGCTACAAGGAATAGGTCTGATATCTATCTTACCATACATAAAAGAGGTTAAATGCTTCCACCTTCTGGAATGCTCAGTGAGATAACGAAAGGCTGAAATCTTCCTTAAATAACTGAACCGGATTTCAGTTCTCAACTAACATGCATTTGGAACTCTTATAAACTTTCATAATCCTTTTTCTCAGGGTGGCATCTGCTGATTTAGTTTATATCCTTTTTCAATCCTAAGTTCTTAGAACCAATTAGAACCTGTCTTCAGGTCAGAACTGGCTTCAGGAAATAACAGAAGTTCAAAAACTCTGTCTAGATGCCAACTTGACACTTGTGTTGACAGTTTTTCAAAAGAAAGAAGGGCTTCAAAGAGCTTTCAGGGAATAATTGAGTGGGTGATCAAAGGAGGAAGAAAAAGGAAAGGGAGGGAAAAAATAGACTTGACCAAAGAGAATGGCAGCAGAAATGGTGCTAGCCTAGACTTCCTGAGTAGAAAGTTCATGTATCATGGAATTCTTACTAAAAGTATTTCTATTGTCAAGCATTTATACAGAATGGGATTGAGAAAAAGACTTCTCTCAAGAACCTTAAAATGTGTGAGGAAAACAATTATCAAGCAACCTGACCTCAACCTGAGTTTATTAACTGTCAGCCACTGAAACTGCTGAAATAGGGTAATCATACGTTATATGATTCTAGGGTCACTCAACTATCTTCTTTCTAAATTCTGAAATATCTAAGTAGTTTTCAGAAATAATTTCATAAAGAATATGTCACAGTTATCCCAAAGGGTTATAATACCACCATGCATTATTACGGTCTTTATAACTGGGCACAGTAGAAGGTGTAGATTTCCACTGTATAAATTGTCTAAAAAATATTTATTTGGGGGGGAAATAAAGTGAATAATATATAAGCCCATACTGTGGGATGGATTAACTGAGCTACTTTCAGCCTGACAGTGCTGTTATACAGATTGCTGGAAGGAGCAAATATTCATCTAACAGAAGAATTTTTTTTCACTGCCTTTATACCTATAGATGGTGTTCCTGTCTGTGCAGCTATGAGATGGAAAAGTAGCACATTTTCTCTCTCCCTTTCACTCGCTTTCTGCATTCAAGCAAATACCCATGTATGTTTCAATTCAGCGTCCCCAACCCTGGACTGTGGACTGGTACAGGTCCATAGCCTGTTAGGAACTGGGCCACAAAAGCAGGCCGCAAAAGCTTCATCTGCATATGTGCAGGATATAAGTAACATGCAAAACCATCTCTCCCCTGGTCAGTGGAAAAACTGTCTTCCACAAAACCAGTCCCTGGTGCCAAAAAGGTTGGGGACTACTGTATTAATGTATAGATAAATATTCATATGTTTAAATGAAACTATACAATTTATCAATCAAAATATCTTCCTCTAACTCAAAACTACTGATATAAACTAGGATTGTGTTTTCTTGTTTTTCTTTGTACAAACATACTGATGAGAAAACCAAGAGACATTCAGGTTTTAGATGACAAAGTAAAATTAATTAACACATTTTTTGCAGCAGCTTGATATCCATGTAGTCTCCCAAATTACAACAGCAGTATTTTGTTGTTTTTAAATCCAAGTACTAAGTTGAGTCTTGTGAATGAATTGATAATATATGTGAGAATAAATTTTACCATTTTCTTTATATAATCCCTAGTGCCTAAACTCATGATATAAATAATTAATAATTCTTAGCAATTAATGATGAAAAAGCAATTGTCAAATCATGCAGAAGATTCTGAGAGTTCAACTATCAAGAACCCTACTAAAATGATGCAAAAAGATTAAAACAAATTTGACTGTTACAAAACAAATACTTTATTAATAAATTAATAAATTATGGCTTCATAAGTGCATAAAATACTCAAACCAGTCCAACAAGGATAATATCATATTATCCTATAAGAGTGGGTGCTGAGAAAATCAAACAGAAGACAATATTAACAGATGAGAAAAATAAAAGTTGAAATGGAACTTTAAATTATTAAATAGTATTTTATATAACAGACTTTCACTTATGTTTCTGAATCTGTTACAGTTAATATTTATGAAAAGCAGGGAAAACCCATAAATGTTGAACTAAAGGCTTTCCTATTGTAAGATTTGCATCAAATCTTTTTAGCTTTTTTTTAGCTTTTTCAAGACATAAGTGACCATCAATAGTAAATAATGCCATAAAACAAACAAAGGAGAATGCAGCATATACAATATAGAACTTACAAAAAATACCAGCTTAGAAAGGGATCTATTCTGAAGATGCTTATATCAATAAAAATGTGGTTTTAAAAGACTAAGACTAGTACTGAATCTCCTTCCCATTTCTTCAGGATACCACTAAGAAGAAATAATTGATACTTTGTGACCAATTCTCACATTTATGACCCTCAAAGTCTGTGAAGCAAAGCTGAAAAGCTGAAGTGAGATTGTAATCATAGTTTCACTTGCCATCTGCTTTGCTTAACGACCAGGTTGCCACTTCCAATGTGGTTGCTAAACAAAATCTATCTCTATAAAACTTTGCTTTGTTTTTCACATTATCAGGAAAAGTCTCATAGTGTAAAATGCTTTATTATTATCTGTGCAGAGCTTGCGATAGAAAGGCATTTTGTAATACACAGAAAAGTAAATATAGTATTTGTTTGTAACTCTTTAAAACAGCATTATTTTTTTACTAGTATAAACCAGCAGGCAGCCATGCAATTTCAGGAAAGATGAAATTGCATTAAAGAATTGAAGACAATTGTACTTCTGTGTAATCTGAAGTAATTTTTTATTCTTTCCATTAAAAGAATGTTGGTAAGAAATTATGTAATGAGGATCGGGACTCTTTCAGCATAATTAAATAAAATCTGAAACAAAACAAAGTAAATTTGCTATAAGGGGGAGAAGTCAATAAAAGAAATATCACCTTCAAAAATGGATTAAATCAAAACTGTGGAGAAAAACCCTTGCAAAAAATCCACTGTCCTCCTTATGGGAATGGCAGGTGGGAAGGACTTGGAATGCTTGTGACTCTTCTAGGCAAATCTCCCCTCCTTCCTGTTCATGTGACACAAAACAGAGCATAAATAGCCAACCTTTGCTTCTTCATCCACATATACACAAAGAAATGGCCAGTGCTGGTAAAGGGGTTGGAAAGAATGCCACAAGTCATGCTCTCCATGCTTTTCCTATTTTGTTGAAACTGAATCTGAAGGCTTATCTTCTATAAAGTGACTCTGTGATGAAAAGTAACAATGGAGAAGGCAAGCCTAGTCTATAAAAATTTTCCAAAGCCATCTGGTTGATAATCTTGAAACTCAATGTTTAGAAATCTTTTCCCTACTATTTCTGGCTATCCATAAGTTTAAGTAATATCTTCTTATGTTAAGCATGAGAAATTAGGGATTTCAGGCATGCCAATTGGAATGAGAATGTACACAAGGGCAGGGGTAGGCAACCCTGGCTCTTTTATGACTCGTGGACTTCAACTCCCAGAATTTCTGAGCCAGCCATGAAGTCCATGAGTCATAAAAGAGCCAAGGTTGCCTACCCCTGCACTAGGGTAAATGGTTACTGTTGTCACATCAATATCTTGCTAAAGAAGGGGAAGGCAGAATTCTCTTTTTGGAGCTTCAACCTTATTGAAAATGTTACAATCAGCACAGTGATTCAGAAAGGAAAAACATATATGAAGTCAGTTAGAATGTAATGCATTACAAAGATATTTAAAGAATCTAAATGGTATCTTAATTATAATTCAGATATTATTTTGCAATTTTAAAGTCACTAAGTTTAAAAATACTAACTAACAACCATCTGATAAATTCTGGTTTCAGTTTTATCTTTAAAATTCTTTCAACGTCTATTTCTTTTCCCCCTTTCATACATCATGTATCATTTTTATCCATATGTTACTGAAGATTAGCTCACTTCATTGCATGTAAAACTTCCTACTCCACAGGCCTTGTATCACTTCAGCAGGAATATTACATGGCAATCTGTTTTATGATGTAGGACATTCGTACATAATGTCATACTTGCACAAAGCATTTTTAAATAAATAGTTTACTGAATAATCACAAGCATATACATAATGCTAATTACTATATATTTTCACACATTTTAGAATCCTGTAAAGTTTAAATGACAAATAAAGGCCATTATTCAGGCAGCCATGAAGTGAATTGGCACTGCCCAAAGGAGTTTTTGACCTCTATTTTTCAAACACCAAGTCTCTTACATAGCATGTCAAACTGCTTTGAAACCTCGGGGGAATTTCTGAGGCAATTTGATCAATGCTGCATGGGGGTGGGGTGGGGGAGTAAGGGGCTGCCATTTAAGAAAAAAAGGACAGCTCTGTTGGGCACACCTATAGTTTACTGGATTTTGGCCTTAATTTTTTGGCATTCATAACACAATTTTTCTCTTCTCTTCTATCTTCACATACAACAAACAGCATCTACCTTGGGATTACTAGGTGATAGAAGTATAGTTGACTCATGGGATCAGTTATAAGAACTAGCATTTATTGCTTATATATTTTGAATAATTCCACATTTTAACAAACAAGATTTGCTGCACACAGAAAAAACAGATTTATCATGTACACACAATGAATTAGAGAAATATTCCACTTCACTGTGCATCCTGAAGTAATTTTAACTTCAAAAGAAATATGGTCAGAAGTTCAACTGAAGTATAGCCTACATAAAGTTAATATTGCAAACTTCTTTATTTAGAAGCAGGCAACTTAAATATTTTAAATACAAATAAAAAATTAAATCCAAGCTGGTTCTCTTGCAATAAGTCACTATTATTTGCACAAAAGTAAAATGAACATAATATAGGCAGCTACAAGTTAAAATTAAATGTAGAAAAACCCTTTAAAAATAAGCAGAATTTGCTATACTTACTGAATATTTCTCCTGCTGGCCCATAACTCCATGGTTAGCTGGGATTGCAAGAGGTTTCATAATGAACAAACATATGCCGAACTTAATTTACACATGATATACTAATTTATCATGAATAGCAATCAACCTCCACTGCAATAAATTAAATAATGAAAAAACAGGGGGGAAGCAAGCCAAAAGCTCAAAGTATCGTTCACAAAATCTCTCACACTGGTGGTACAGAAATATAATCCAAACAGCTTTTGCCTCCATTTTTGTAACACTTTATATCTTAAGCATGCACAGAGGTAAGGTGCCTAGCAACACCGTACATATCCAGCATTCTTCTACAAGAAACAGGAGCATTCCCTGAGACCAAAAAGGAGAAAAAAAGGAGGGGGGAGCTAAAATGGCTGACTGCACACAAGACTCCCTCAAAAAAGCTTAAAACCATATAGTATTAGTCAGGATGCAGCAATCAGCTTCCTGTACACAGCCAAGATTGTTATTTCTCCTGTTTAATTTGCAATCACGATGACAAGAGAGCTCCTCAACCCCACTTTTTTTCAATAAAAAAATAAAAAAATTAGGGCAGAGCATCTGAATAGGGACCTCCTCCATGGTTGCTAATGATGCTGACAGGATGACCAGTGATCTCTGTTCCAGTCAACTAGCCAAGTTTGCACAATTAATCTAAGCAGCATAATACTGACGGACATTTAATAATGTCTGTCCCTCACATTCAAGGAAATCATGTCTAGCACCAGGAAGGTCACTAAAGAAAGGCGGGAGGCACATACACAGAGAAAAATAAACCTAAAGAATCATGAGTCTGAATGTAATACGCCAATATAATTACGTTATTGTGCTTACTTTGGAAGACCATGGCTGCAGGCAGTTGGCATAGCAACGCACAAGGAAAGCCATTTCCTTGGTAGAAAGAACGCTTCCTTTTCTAAATAAAAAATTCCACTTAGGATACAAACGGCATTGCTGCTTCCTGCAGAAAGCAAAGACACTGTAGTCTGTCTCTTAACCTGCACACAGGCACACTCAGTGCAGTTCTAATGATGTAAGTCGATCTCTCACTGCCTCCCTCCCTTTTCCCCCATACATCGAAAAATTCAACTCAAATGGAAAGACACATTCCTCGCCGCTCGCCCCCTCAGCTGCTTAACTATTTCACTCATTAAAGTACAGATGGAAAATTCAAATAGAGTATCAAGCGCTTGCCTGTATTATATCAGCCTCTGTAGGTCAAGCAAATCCCAGAGGGGAAGAAATCCATTGGTTGCTGGCTCCAGTGCCTTACCAAGGCAGGATAGGAATAAGGAGATTTACTTACTTAACAGTCTCCAAACTAAATATAAATGTTCACCAAGGTGAATAAAATGCATAGCATTGGTTAATACCTTCTCATTCCATACTTCATCCAAAAATAATATTGCACCAAGGCTGTAAATATCTAATTCATTAATGGAGTACTTGACAAGATTTCAAATTCACAGGTACAGGTAGTCCTTGACTTATAATCATTCATTTAGTGACTGTTCAAAGTCACAACAGCACTGAAAAAAGTGTTTTATGACCATTTTCCACACTTACAACTGTTGCAGCATCCCCATGGTCATGTGATTGAAATTTGGATGCTTGGCAACTGGCATGAATTTATGACTGTTGCAGTGTCTGGAAGTCATGTGACCTTTTGCAACCTTCTGACAAGCAAAGTCAATAGGGAAGCCAGGTTCACTTAACAAGCATGTTACTAACTTAACAACTGCAGTAATTCACTTAACAATTATGACAAGAAAGATCATAAAGTGGGGCTAAATTCACTTAACAACTATCTTGCTTAGCAACAGAAATTTTTTGCTCAATTGTGGTCGTAAGTTGAATTACCTGTATAAAACCTGTATTACCTGTATAGTTAATAATGAACTAAGAAAGTCATGGGTGTGAATTTTTAGAATCCTCAGTTAAAAATTTGCTTAAATGACAGCTACCCTTTGCCATAGAGGTTGAAGAAGTTCCCATTTAAACATGTATTCATAGATTACAGAACACTATAATAGAAAACCACACTTTCAATTTGTTACTCAATGTTATCTCTTAATTATTTCATTTTTAAAATGCGTAATTAGCATACCATTGTGGTTCAGGAAATTTGGTTAAGTCTTACTCTTACAAAAAGAATGAAGAAAGTAGTCTTACAATCCCTTGACTTGGTGAACTATATTAAAGCAGTTTCTTTACAGTATCAAGAAACAAAACATCTGCCAGCTGAGAACACAAGAGTTTGTTGGAGAGGTTGATGGAGAAATTTGAGGGGCTAGAGATGAGAAGCGAGGGACAGGTCACCCCTCCTTACCTACTAGTGAGCGTGACGACCAGCAGGATTGGTGCCAAACTATACCCAGAAGAAGACCTAGCCACAGTGACGGAGCTCAGGCGGCGACCCCACATTGGAGCTGCCAGCATTGACCTCAAGCCCAGTGGGGAGGAAGAGTCCTGACCGTCACCCACAGTCGTCGTCAAATCATCAAGGAGTTCAGAATGCTACTCGCGGCATGACAGTCCTGGCCATCAGAAAAGCCCTGATCGGCATCCTTTGTCACGATCTCCTGACAGGCATCACCGTCGCGGAGGCTCCAGACGGCGAGATCATTACGACAGCCCCGAGAGATGCCGTCATGACAGTCCTGGCCATCAGAGAAGCCCTGACTGACGTCATTCATCACGGTCTCCTGACAAATATCACCACTGCAAGAGCCCCAGACAGTGGGATCACTACAACAACCCTGAGAGATGCCCTCGCTACCAAAAGCCCAGACCACCGATACTGTCAGAGCCCGGATCACTACTGGTACGTGAGAGTTCTGACAATTACTACTCTCAGTCACGCAGCCCTGATTATCACCGCCATAGCACAGGACCTGCACAAAGAGCTGACCCCCAATGTGGATGTTCAACGCAACTTGGTTCAACAGCTGGGACTGCGTGATATGTTGGACAGACAGCAGCCATTGGGGGCTAGCGGCAGAAGGGGGTGCAACTGCAGCTGGGAGGGCAACAGCAATTGGGCGGACAGCAACCCATTATGGCGCCACCTCTGAAGGCCACTTTTGATGATGATCTGGAGAAACTGATCTTCTTCCTCAATTAGGTGTGTTCCCATATGAACCGAAATGCCAATTTCTACCCAGATCCAGCTGCCATGGTCGATGTTATCGCAGCCAATCTAAAAAAGGAAGCATATGAATGGATAAATAATTTGTAAATGAACAAGTGCCTGAACTAGGGAACTACCATCTCTTCATCCAAAGATTGAGAACCTGATTTGAGGACGAATCCGTAGCCCTCAAGGCCGAGAAACATATTCATAAAGTGAAGCAAGTTGGCAGACCTGCAATGGAATATGTGCGAGAATTTCAGACAGTGGCAAGAGGGATGGAGAGGTGGCCAGAACACTCCCTAATACATCACTTCAAAGAGGGGCTAGATAACCATCTATCCCAGGTCTGTATCACTCGGGGGGTTCCTGATCAACTACAGGAGTGGTACCAAGTGGCAGTGAAGATAGACATTGAGCTTGCTGGCTACAAGAAACCAACTCCTCCAGGAACCGGACCGAAGCTGGAGCAAACCAGACGGCCACCAACGCAAAGAGTCCCAGCAATCACGGCCGCGGAATCTCCTAAACCAGTTACAGGCCCGCCGATCAAGTGCTTTAGGTGCGGCCAGTCAGGCCACAGAGCCACTGTTTGTCCCATTTCATTTCACCAGCAAAGAGGCATTCCAATCCCTCAGAGAAGAAGAAGTCAAACCTGCCCTCTTCCAGGAAAAATCAAGCAAAATCACGCAAGAGCAGATTACTAAGGTTGACACTCCCACGCAGGGACAGAAGCCACCTCTGGCCCAGCCTCCATCCTGGCACCCTACAATGATGACAAGGGAGAAAACAATCCGATGGTGAGTCAACCTATCCCACCTTTCTCCCTTAATGTCAAACTTATAGTTCCAAAAAACTGGAGTTCAAAAAGACTTAAAAGTACTAGTAGATTCGGGGTTCTCCCAATGCAATATTAGCCTACCCATTGCTCAACAGCTGGGCATACAGGCGAGGATGCTTTCTAACCCTATGAAGTTTGAACAGGCAGATGGTTCATTAATGGGAGGAGCTTTAATCACTCACCTAACTGAAGTAGTACGGCTAGAAATAGGTGAACACTGGGAATTCATCTGCTTTGTCATAGCCCTGAAAATGACGGAAGCAGTAATTTAGGTCTGTCTTTGTTAGACAAGTGGAAACCTTTCATCTGGTGGGAGAAGGGAATGAGAACCCTGAGATTGCCTATAGGCCCATCTCCCCCCTCCATGTAACTTTTGATGTCTCTGGGGGCAAGGGACTGCCCGCAGACACTGAAAATAGCCACCATACCTCTGCCTGGGGAGCCACTCGTCCCCAGTGAATACAGAAACTTGGCAGAGGTGTTTAGTGAAAAGGAATACAATGCTTTACCCCCTCACTGAGCGAATGACTGCACCATTGAGATTTTACTTGGGGCTAAGCTGCCAAAGCCAAAAATGTACGCAATGACCCCCCTTGAAGTGGAGGAATTATGCCTGTACATTGATAAGAACTTAGCCAGGGGTTTCATAGAACCAGCCAAATCCCAAGTAGCCACTCTGGTGTTGTTCAAGGAAGATGGGTCTCTTAGACTCTGCGTGGATTTTAAGGGAATTAATGCTGTGAGTGTGGAGAATATATACCCACTCCCACTCATGAAGGATCTATTGTCACATTTGACGAAGGGAAAGATTTTCATAAAATTGGACTTGAGAGAAGTGTATTACTGTGTTAGAATAAGAGAAGGTGATGAATGGAAGACTGCTTTCAATAGTCCCCTAGACAGCTACCAGTTCAAAGTTATGCCTTTTGGGCTACAAGGGGCCCCTGCGGTATTCATGCAACTGATCAACTAGGTGCTACATGAGCACCTATATAAAGGCATTCTGGTGTATCTTGATGATATCCTAATCTACATGACGACCATGACAGCATGTGGGCTTAGTATAGGATGTTTTGAACGCTAAGCTCTATGTCAAACTGTCAAAGTCCAAATTTCACCAAAACAGTCTGGATTATTTAGGCTACAGAATCTCCAGCGAAGGTATCAAAATGGACCCAGCCAAAGTAAAAGCTGTTATTGAATGGCAACCTCCAAAATCCCAAAAGCAACTACAGAGTTTCCTGGGATTTGCCAATTTTTAACACCTGTTCATCCCTTCATTTGCTGAGATTGCTTTGCCCCTGACAGATTTGTTAAAAACTGGTAGGGGCGGAGGTAAACTGCGACCTGGCCAGCCGCTGCAGTGGACTATAGAATATTAAATGGCTTTTGAGAATTTAAAAAGGTTGTTTGCTGTTAAGCCTGTCCTAAAACATCCTCACCCTGAGGAGTCCTTCATGATCCAGGCCAATGCTAGTGATGTGGCTGTGGGGGTGGTTTTGTTGCAGGAAAACCGTGATGGACTTTTACAACCCTGTGCTTACACTTCAAAGAAGTTCACTGAAGCAGAGCGGCAATGGGCTATGTGGAAGAAA